AACCCAGGTCCTCTGGAGGAGCAAGCTGATGCTCTTAACTGATGAGCCATCTCTCTTCATCTTTAGAGCTGGGATCCTTGGGCTGTTAGATTCTCCTGCTTTCCTCTTCCCGTTTTGTGACCCCCGTGGCCATATAAGACCATCAGCATAATCCAAAACAAATCACTAAGGTAGACTTAACTCTGTTATCTGTCTGTTATCTGGTCCTGTTTGACAGGTAAAATAAAGTAGTCCTGCGTTCTGGTGTCCCTGGTTCTGGTGATGGGATCTAGCTTCGTTGGGCAAGGCTGTTGCTCTGCTAACTATATTCCCCTTCGTAAAATCTGGCTCTTAAGATTTTCCAATGACTCCCACATATTTCTCATATATTCATCTTAAATTAGTCTGGATCTCACCTCACCTTTTTTTCCTTCCTTCCTTCCTTCCTTCCTTCCTTCCTTCCTTCCTCCCTCCCTCCCTCCCTTCCTTCTTTCTTTCTTTTTTTCCGAGACAGGGTTTCTCTGTGTAGTTTTGGAGCTATCCTGGATCTTGCTCTGTAGACCAGGCTGGCCTCAGACTCACAGAGATCCACCTGCCTCTGCCTCCCGAGTGCTGGGATTAAGGGTGTGCGCCACCACCGCCTGGCTTTTCTTTTTCTTTTTGACAGTTTCATTATGTACTTTAGGCTAAACTTGAACCCTAGGTCCTGAGCCCAGAAATTACAGGTCCACCACACCCTGCCAACTCCCAATGTTTGTAACCAAATAAACGGAAATACACACTTCTGTCACTAATTCGTCATTGTCCTTGTGTTTTATTTGGCGTGTGCACTTCTCTTGCTGTGATAAAATTCTCTTGCTGGGACAAAGCCACTTAAGGAAGGAAGGGTCTAGTCTGGATGCAGCTCCAGGGAGTGATCCCTCATACTGGGGAAGGCATGATGGCGGGAGCTCGGGGCAGCTCATCCACACCGCATCTTCAGCAGGGAGATGGAGGAAGGAATGCTGGGGCGTGTGTGTTCGTGCACGTGCGTGCGTGTGCGTGTGCGCGTGCGTGTGTGTGTGTGTGTGTGTGTGTGTGTGTGTGTGTGTTGTGCATGCATCATGGTGTACTTGTGGAAGCCAGAGGAAAACTTGTGGGATGTTTGGTGACAAGCTCTCCTTTTACTCAATACGCTCCCTTGCCAGCCCCCTTCTTTACTATTATTGTTAGTGTATGGTGGTGGCGGCGGTGGATGAATACCACACCGTGTGTGTCGGTGAAAGAACACCTTCCATGGAACCAGTTCTTTCCTGCCACCATTACATGCGTTCTGGGGATCGAACTCCAGTTGTCAGGCTTTTGTGGTAAGGGCTTTTCCCCGCTGAGCCCTCTCGCCAGCCTCCGTGTTCTTTTTACTCAGTCTCGGGCCCCAACCCATAGTGCAGCGCTGCCCACACTCATTGTCGGTCTTCCCATTGCAGTGCACTCAACCTAGAAAACCCCGCACAGATGTGTCCAGAGGTTTGTCCCTTAGGTGACACGAGATACTGCCAAGTTGGCAATATGAACCACCTCAGCGTGTTTTCTTGGGAGGCGGAATTCATCCTGAAGGAATCAAAAGTCTAAATGTATGTGGAGCCCAGGTTACCAAGGTGGCTGATCAATGAGGATATTTTTCTTTTTCTTTTTTTTAATAATAAATTTTTTTATTCATTTTATATACCAACCACAGATTCCCCCTCCTCCCTCTTCCTGCCTCCCAGCCTTTCCCCCCAACACACACCCCCCATTCCCACCTCCTCCAAGGCAAGGTCTCCCATGGGGAGTCAGCAGAGCCTGGTACATTGAGTTGAGGCAGGTCCAAGCCCCTCCCTCCTGCACCAAGGCTGCACAAGGTGTCCCACCATAGACACTAGGCTCCAAAAAGCCGGCTCGTGCACTAGGGATGGATCCTGATCCCCCTGCCTGGGGACCCCCCAAACAGTTCAAGCTAAACAACTGTCTTGAGTATCCAAAGAGCCTGGTCCAGTACCATGAGGGCTCCACAGCTATTGGTCCACAGTTCATGGGTTTCCACTGGTTCGGCTGGTCATCTCTGTACATTTTCAATGGGGATGTTTTTTGTGCTAGGGGGATTTGTCTTTCTTACAGATGGTTGTGGCTGCTTCTATCCACAAACCCTCACAACCAACATCTACTTCCTCTTCAAAATCAAGACACCTCAAGTACCACAAATGCTACTAATCCTGAGGGCTGAAATGGCTCAAAAACATCAGGACCCCAAGATATATGAAAGATGACAAAATCTACTTGAAAAAACAGCCCAGAGAAGAATTTGTGGGCAGATAATTAAGTCAACTAAAGAAGCTGGACATGGCAGCATATACCTGTAATCCTACCCTCGGGGAGACTGAGATGGGAGGATCTTGAATTTGAGTCTAGTTTGGACTACAATAGTGAGATTCTATCTCAAAAACTGAAAGTCAAACCACAATGAATAAAGATAAAAATAAAAAAAATTAGACCAGAGAAACAGCCACAAAAATTTGCTTTGTGTGGTGGCTCAACATGGCAGGAATTGAACTTTTGGTGGATTGTATGTACGGCTCTTTGGAGCTGGGGAATTTTGTCCTGTTGCCTTTGGTGACCCACGGTAATAGAATGCTGAAAGGGTACAAACTGGGCTGATACTTATTTTTTGAGACAGGCTCTTGTTGCCCAGGCTGGCCTCAAACATACTCAAGTAGCAGAGGATGACCTTCAGCTATGGCTCCTCCTGCCTCCACCTCCCTTGGTGGGATTACAGGTTTTCAAACACTGTAGGGCTGACACACAATGTCAGATGGGTCTGTACCCACACGGCCTCATCAATTGTGAAAACATCAAAGCACAGTGAGAGCGAGTGGGTAAATAGCTGTTTTCCTGATGTATCCAACATCTTCCTCCATTGGATCCCTTCTCAGGTCTTCCTAGGCACTGCAGGATCCAGCAACTGAGGAGTTAACTCCCAGCAGCACCAGGTAAACTGATCTAGTCCTTGGGCCATCATCTCCTTGGACAGGGCAGGGCCCACCTCATGTGGACAGTAGAATGCTGGAAATCACCCTAGGCTTAAGTAGCAAGGAACTTTCTTTAAGGCAGTAGAAGTTCAGCTGTGGGGCCGACACTGGTTCTGTGATATCTTCGAGACTCTCCCTGTCTGTTTGTCCATTGACAAGGTCAACTTCATCCCAGGTGGGTCTCTGTGGTCAGTTGGATGGTGGCTCCTGAAGAGTATGGCCATAATTCTGGTGCCCGTGAACAATGCAATCTAGTAGAAAAGGATGTTGATATCAATCTCTTTGGCTTATCTAAGCATCATGACACATGCCTGTAATCATTTGAATTTCAGCTTCTTGGAGATAGGACTAGAATCTGGGTCTTGAACAAATGAAGGCAAGCAAGGGAATTTCCTGGACCACTCTAGCCCTTTTGAGCAGTGGTTCCTGGAGTATGGTCACCATATCATCATCACCATCACTATCATCATGACCACCATCAGCACTGTCATCATTGGCACCATGATTGTCATCCTCACCATCACCATCACCATCACCACCATCACCACGGCCATCACACCATTTCTACCATAATCACCATGAGGACCACCATCATCACTACCAATACCATCACATCCATCATTATCATCATTGGGAGCTTGTAAATACATGAAAATGCTTTTTATAAGCCCCAAAGAATTGGAAGCAGAAGCTCACTCAGTCACTCAAATGCTCATACATTTGTGGGCATCAAGGCAAGGTTCTACGAAGTAGAAACAACTTCTGTATCCATCACTGAATAAATGGACAAAAAAGTCTAGGTGGTGATGTACTTTATGGCCATAAAAAGGA